AAGGATTATTCAAGTACTTATATGTGAGGAGGAGGATTTTAAATATTGATTCTGGATTTAGCAAGGATCCAATGATGACCTGACGTTGCCTTTGGAGGAACTGCTGTTTCAAACACTTCCTCTTTCTCTTCAATTTCCCGTGCTTCAGGGTGTTCTGCCTTAGTTGCTTGTTATTACAAATCCTTAAAAAGCCTAACCAGGGTCATAGTCTGCAAATTAGCTGTGGCTAGAAGTCCTACATATACTGTGTCGGTTGCATTTTTGTTTAAATGCAGTGTTATTTATGTGTTGTCCCTGGTATAAAAATAAATACAATACAAATAAAAGCATTTGCCCTGCAAGCAGCATGTTTGTTTCAAAGTGAGTAAAGTAACTGTTACATTTTCACAGAGGTCAAAGGTTTACAGTGTGTTTTGTTATTTCTATTGTAGAAACTCCAGATCCAGAGCATGGAGGCCAAGGAAGAGCGCCAGAGCTCCTCCGCCCACTCCACTCCATCCAACACACCACACAGCTCCCCTAAATCACAGCGCAGGTACAACCACACACTTACACTCAGTGTCCTCAGGTTATCAGCCTGCCCATCTAAACCCAACAATGTGATAAATGCTAAAAACCTAACCGTGTTTACACTTTGTGTGTTTGTGAAGAGGCTGGTTCGGCAGTTCGAGTTCAGAGCTCAGTATTGCCTCCTCCTCCAACAGCAGTTTGGACATGGCTGGAGTAGACGTCGGGGGAGGAGGAGGAGGAGGTGTAGTGGAACGATGGGGTGTCTTCGGACCGCGACCACCTGTCCATAAGTCGACCTCTGACCTGGGATCAGACTCCACAACTGCAGGTAACAGCACAGCCTCAGTTTGAAGCCTGTGGAAATGACTTGACTGTTTGCTTGTCTTGTGTAAACAAAACTCGAAAAAGGTTCTCCTCAGAATTCCCATGAGACGTGTTCAATTCAATAAACAAAATAAAGAGTACAAACATGAAGCGCTGCGGTAAGAAACTAAAATAACCCCTCACTATGGAAGAACAAAGGCCCATATGACCAGTTCAGTCCAGGAGTGGGGTTAATGGGTGATTGAATGAACTTCAGACTGACAGTAAACACTGAACAACATTCAGGGCTCACAACACTGAGAGACTGATCAGTCATTGACTTTTAGCAATGGCGAGCTGAGATTTCTTCATCGCATTGATATAAAACTACAGCTCACCGATGACTTTTGAGAAACTGCGTTTAGGTCTTTACATGTGGGATGTTCAGTTTGAATCAGAGACTTTTAAAATCTTCTTCCCAGGATGACTTTCGGTAGGTAACCCGAGAAAAGTAATGTTTGCAGGGACCTGAGTGAATGAGATTTTTTACAGCTTAAAGAATTTTTTTTCTTTCAAAAGACGTTTCTTTCAGAATTTCACAACTTTTATAGAGTTTGTTAAAAAAAACAAAAAAACAGACAGCTGCTTTATATTTATAGTGTGGTGGGAGAATCAGATTCTTTATTATTATTATTATTATTACTACTATTGTTATTTTTTGTTTTTTTTGGGGGGGGGGGGGGGTAAGAGATTAAATTAGGCTGAGGGGGTTTTCTTGAAGATGGAGAAGTAGTTTTGGGTGTGTTTGTTTTATTTTGGGGGTTTTGGTGGTGTGGGTTGTGTGTCTGTGTTATAATGGGAATTATTTATTTTTATTAATTGGCTCTGACAATGAATTCAAAGAGATAATAATTTAAAAAGAAACCGTTATTTATGGACACATGTTGTAAAATGTTTAAAATGTATTGATTTTTATTTTTTAATTTTTAAAAATATTGTCACTTTATATCAACCACCTTCTGAGCCTCTTGCAAGTTGTATTATCATCTTTTTTTCCCAGCAGGCTTTGCTCTGCAGGCGTACCGTGGCGCTCAGAAGCCGACCCCGATGGAGGTGATGAAGACGCAGGCTCGACTGGCCGACAGCGCTTCCATTCAGAAGGTGTCTCCACCAACAATGGAGATTCCCACGGTGGAGGGTCGGCGGCATGGAACCCGAACACACAAGCTCAAACCGAGAGATATGAACATCCTGACGCCCTCCGGCTTCTGAGAACGCAAGCTGCCTGACGCACAGACACCACAGGTCCCATGAAATGATGACGTCCTCGTGCTTAGTTCAGTGTATTCCAGTTCTCCTTGTTTTCTTTTTTTAAGTCCAAATCTTTTCAAATGTTACCGTATTTAGGTTATTAACGAGGTCCGGTTACTCTTCCAAATATAAATCCAACAGATTTTGCACTGCCTAAACAGTCCTGTATAAATTTCTGTCGTTAAGCCATAATTTAACCCACCAAGTACCTGCCTTGGATCTGCAAGTGCAACACTATTTGCCACACAGGAGTTTGATGGAGAACGTTGTAAACAAACCTCCACTTAGTCTAATTTAGGTGGCAGGGTGGCTGAGCTGTAAGCTAAGCACCCAAACTGACGGTCAAACATCACAATTTACAGACAGACCTCCTAATCACGTTTGACCTTTAATTACTGTAATAATCTGGTTTTTGGTCAGTTAATCCAAGCTTGTGGTTTTGCCTCAAAATAAAAGTGAACCAGTAAATCTGACTAACTGACTGATTATCATCTGACCTGCCAGAGAAGAACTCTTGCAATCATGTTTCAATTTAGATCTTTCCCCCCCCCGTTATCCAAAGGCTTAAACGTCTCTGACCTGAAATTATGCTGGTAATGACTTTTCCCATTCCTCCATAGATTTGGGGGTGAGCAGCTTTATGTAAATATTTTTGAAATATCAACTGTGGAACTTAAACTATTTCATGGGACCTTTTAACAGCAGCTCTAACCACTTAAGATAACCACTGTGCTGTCCACCATCTTTCCCATTTAAAAACAAACATGGTATATACATTTGAAAAACAAAAAAGAAAACCGTGATGCATATTCAGTGTTTCTTGGATGTAAAATCAAACGCATTGACCAACCAGGTCAGCATGAATCACCCCACAATGAAGTGAGGAGCTTATGTTGGTGAAGCTGAAGCTGAAACTGAAGATGGTTGCGATCCAAGTTTATAAGTATCATATACTAACGCACTTTATCCTCATCATAACTTCTAACTCAACCCCAGACCCTCTGCTGTCACGCAGCCCTCCAGGGTAACGATGCTAAAGCTTCCTCTGATATGTTCTGCCTGTCACTAAAATATTTTTCTTCCATTTTGGGATGAATAAATAATAAATTTCTCGGGTGCAGTTCAGTATCAGACAAAATAAACAGACAACGATTCTCTAATTATATTGTAACAAGTTTTGTCTCAGGAAAATTGTCAGGCTCCTCAAACGTTCCAGTTATTTCTTTTGCAGAAAATGGTTTTTGTTTTGTTTTGTGGGATATTTAATGTATAGATTGAAGTTTGCTTGTTTTTTTTCCACTTCCTCTTTTGCAAAAGATTTTATTCCCTTTTTGGGTATGAGAAAAAAACTATCTTAGTAAATTTAGGAAGAAAAGCTAAACGATGGGAAGAATTCCTGTTTGTAGTTAGTGCTTATTAGCTGATGTGTGCCCAGTGAGCATCCTGCAGAAACCTTCACCGATGCTCTTTCTGCTTTTGGCAGTTTTTTTTGTTGGGGGGGGGTGTTCTCCCCAGTTGCAACAGTGTGCAAACAAATGTTCTTCATCTCTAAAAGGCCTTAATATACAAGGAAGTAAATGTAATGCAAGGTTTTATTTTACTTCTCTTAGTGGTCCTACAATGCTAGCTTACTGGTAATTATCGATGTTATATGCAAAGTCTCTGCAGGATGATGCATGCTATGCTTCTTAGAAAATACTGGGCGCTGTAGTTCCACCGCTAAATGAAAAGGTAGATCCTGGTTGGAGTTACTGATGATGCACTCTTGTTATGAAGTGGAAACGGTCCCTTTGTTGGGAATAGATTTGGCGTGTTTTGTAACACAGCAGTGGACGATTTCATGAAGTGGAAAGTTCAAAGTCCATGTCATCTGCCACCTGTAACTCTGCTGTGGTGTTTAGTCACATGTTGTTTCCTTTTGGTCCTGTGTGAACAACCCTGGACACAAAAGCAAACGCCACACTGTTGTTAGATGTGTAGCTATTTTTTTGTTTTTTTGCTGTTATTTTTATGTTCACAAGTGCTTTGTGTTTAAAGTGTGACCCTTTGAATCTTCCTCCAGACCGAAGCATCAGAACCGAACCTCCTCTGTATGTACGTGTGACTCTGTAGTAGTGACTGAAGTAATGTTTGTTTGGTTTTTTGTTTTGTTTTTTACCAATTAATGGTTCAAAGAAGTTTTCCTGGATTTCCTGAATAAATGTTAAACTCTCATCAGCCACACAGGAGTCAAGTGTTCATTGTGTGTGTTTAAAATCTGTTTCGTCAAACATTTTAAACGGACCCTCCTGCCAGAACAGTTACATTTATCTGTTCATTTTATATCTAAAATAAAAACAGTTATATACGCACAGTGACATCACTTAATAGTTGTTTATCTCCCACATTCTGCTTTATCGTGCTTTTAAGCTCTAAATGTTACCATAATTTCTAAAATGAACATTTTGCAGACTTTAAACTCCTGATTGAGACGATACACTCAACAACAGTGTTTATTGCAATTATAGATCCATTTACAGTTATAGTGGTCTCTGGTTTTATAACTATGAATTTAATTTAGCTTAATTTTTATAGATCCAGAAACAACTACGGTCTTTTATATACAGCTGTTGTTGGTGCTTTTTGTTAGCTGGTGGATGTTAGGATGCCAACTTGTAACCCATCTAAGGTTTGGGTTTAGGTTCAGTTAACATCCACTCTGTTTCAGTTGACATCTTTAAAGTTCTGAAGAAGTGCTACATCTTCCTTTTATAGAAAGTCTGTGGCTGACTGACGGGCAACAAAGAAAAAAAAAATCAAGTTTTTATTTTAACAAGTTTTTTTTTTTATTGTTATTTGGAAATGCATCATCATGCAGTCTTCAAGTTATTTGGCACACTACACTGTAGAAAGAAAAACATTTCCCCTCTGCTTCTGTTGCAGTGCATCTCGAGCCTCAGAGATTTCCTGCAGCGTGTGTCAGTCTAGTTCCCTAAAAAACAGAAGTCATGTTTAACCACATCCAGTCCGTACATGACGTAAAACAGTCTGTCAGCCAGTGTTGGTCCACCTGACTCAGAGATCTTTACAAAGTAACCCAGACTGCTCTGATGATTTGACCTGTGAAACAAATGTTATTTCAAACCAGTCTTTCCATTTAGGACAACAAAGTTGATACCGGCTCACTTTGATGAAAGACATTTTGGGGAAAGGTTTTTTAATTTTGTAGGATGAAAAATATGAAAGTGCATGTGAGCTTGTTCAAAAAGATCTATGTGGTTTATGGATGCATGCCAACAACAACCTAGAGATGATCACTGAAAAACCACTTTAGCTTCTCTTTATGGTTACTGTTTACTCAGCAGGAAACGCTGGGAAAGTCAAATCAATATCAAAATTTAGATTATGCGTCCCACATTGTTCCACACAAACAGTCTTTGTCCTACATTTGTTTGTTGGGATCTGGTCACCTGAGTTCTGTCTTTCTGAATATCCTGACATATTCCTCATATGCCAGGTCATAATCCACGTCAGGAAGCTCGTGTTAGAATATCTCTGAGGTGTATCTGTGACTCTGCAGCAGCCTGAAAATCCAAGAAGAAAGTCGAGTAACTGGGCAGCGATAGATCGAGCAGTCCACCTAAGCATAGTTTTAGAGAAGACCAGCATTAGTGTTCCCTCTAATACATGGACACAAAAAGTGAACAAAGCTGGAATTCTCTGACATGTGGTCATAACACATCGTAATCCAAGCATCTCAGATGTGTGGGTCATCTGTGACGTTTTCAACTTGGAGAAGGTCGACGTCCATGCTGAGAGCGTCTTTCTCCCCCTCCTCCTTTCACACTGTTTAGTGCCCTCCATTGCAGGCTTATCCAGATCTGTCAATACACATCTTCAGATACTCCCTCCTACTCTCCCTTTTTTGTCTTCTTCACTTCTCCTGATATCTCCATACATCTGGAAAAACAGCTCCATGTCTCTCTGCAGTTTGGTGTTTCGGCGGTCGGCGTCTGCTTTGGCTCGCTCCATCTTGCGAATCTTGATTTCAGCAACACTTTGGCTGCGCTTCTGCTGCTCCAGGCTGGCCCGCAGGACTGCAACCTGCCTCTCAAGGACGTCATTGCAGCGCTCCAACCTGCAGAGACACCATAAAACGTGGTGAAGGCTTTAAGCAAACACTGGTGGCACGCCACACATTATATAGGATCATTTATGCTGATTCTGTTACAAGGGAGTTTTTCCTTGCCACTGTCGACGAGTGCTTTCTCATAGGTGGTTGTCTGATTGTTGTGATTTCCATTATTGTTGGCTCTTCATCTTAAAGTGCTTTCAGGCAACATGATTTGGCACTATATAGATAAACTGAATTGAATACACTGAAGGTGTCTCACCTCTGTATCCTGGTCTGGTACTCAGACTTCTGCTGGGCCATCCTTTGCCGCAGCTCATCCAGGAGTGAGTGGGTGTCCCTGGGTTGTAGATGATCTTCAGCCCCCTGGAGATCAGGAGAACCTGAGGGAAGGAAGACATCTGAGCTGCCTGTACTAAGAGGGCTGCCACTGCGTACTGAACCCGAGGCTGGAGAGTTTGGGTGGTGGGTGTGGTCGTCATGGTCGTTATCACTGTTTTCATCATCATCCTCGTTGCTATCTTCATGATCGTCTTTGTCACTGTTTTCCTTCTCTGCTTCCTGATTTGAAGGCAACCCTCCATTTCTGACTGGACTAACTACACCGACATCATCACTGCTTTCATCCAATGGTAAAACCTCGCAGGAAGACCATGAAGAGGAATCCCTCGTGCGCTGCACTTCTTCAAGCTCTGCCTCATCTTCACCAGTTCCAATGTGGCCTCCGGAAGAGTTCATTTTCAAATGTCCATCAGTGACATCCATCATTGGTGGGTGTAGAGACACTTTGCTCAGATTGTCATAGGCGGAAGGGGTGCTCTCCTCCTGACCCTCACTGCTGCCCCCACTGGCTGTTTCTGGCACTGCACCCTCTTCCTCAGCACCAGCAGAGCTCCAGAAAGCAGAGCTGGCCTCTCCTGGGCCTGGCCAAACTTTGGTCCAGCCCATGAGCTCTGGTCTGGGCTTAGAATTTTCTGGCACCTGGAAGCTGGTTTCAGAGGCTTGAACATTTCCACTGGGTGCTATTTGGTGAGTGTTATGTTGGTGACAGTCGACGTTATGTCTGTCAGAGTGGTGCTGAGTGGGCTGACTGGAGGAGGGTGTGGGGTAGAAACAGTTCCCCGGGTGGGAGGAGGTGTAGCGATGTCCGAGATTCCTTTTCGGACCGGAAGACAAGTCTGATTTGGCAGCAGCTGAGAAGGCACAGCTAGACAACAACAACAAAAAGTTAGAATTTGAAGTTGAGGCACATTCTTGCAGCTGAAATCATTTTTCTTGCAAACTTTAAAAGTTTTAATGACATCAAGTGACAATGAAAGAATGCAAGTAAAGATGTGAAGGAAGAACAGGTTGTTGGGATAGACACAAAGACTGGGGATGATTATCTGGGATCCATCTCTTGCACAGGAAGCACATGAGCAAGGCTTAGATAGAAGAGTCTGGAGGAAAACAGAAGAGGACAGGTACCTATGGCAAGCAGGTGAGGTGTGGGTGAAGCCACATATTCTCATTCCCAAGACATCACAAGTTGATGCTTGGTTAGAAACCCGGTCTCGTCATATTTTAATTGTATTTAATTTTATTTATTTAGCACCAAATCACAACAACAGCCACCTCAAGATGCTTTATATTGTAAGCTAGAGACCCTACAATAATAATCAAGGTATACCCAAATATCATCATTTTCTGAGGCACTGATTTTAATAAGGAACAACAAAACTACAGAATTCCACAAAAAAGAACCAGAAGCCAAATTGTTGAGCCCTCTTTACACCTATTTATTGCACTTTAAGTTGCTCCTACTTTGGTTTGGCTAGGTTTAGGCTGAAATACCCAGCGCGTCACAATCTGAGGCCAGTGGCTACTGACAAAGTTGACATGTTGACAGTGAGCATGAGTTGGCCATGATCTCTATTGTTTACAGCTGTGCACAAACCTGTCTCTTGTTTGTTTGTTGTTGTCTCATTCCAGACCTTTTAGATTTGGATCTGGAGATTCGTGTCCTCTCTTAGCTACCATTTGTTGTCTGACAGTCACAGCCCTGCCTTTCTCTATTTTACCTCTTTGGGTCTGTGTGAGCTCCGCCCTTCTCTCCATCCTCCTGTATCTTCTGTATCTGAAATGTGTCCTCATATTTTTCTTTGCTAAGTGAATTGTGTCTTGCTCCTTTCTCCCTCTGAGCTTTGTCCTATCTCTTCCTCCTCCCTGTAAATTGTGTTTTCTCCTCTCACTCGGCCAGTGGTGTCATCTGTTTTCCATTCGTGGGAAGTGTCAGTCCTTCGCCCTCTGTGTAAATGTTGTCCTTGAGTAATGCCTTGTGTGTGTATGAGTGTGTGTGTTTTTCCTCTTCCCTGGCCTTTGTTTTTGTGGTGTAGCTTCTCCCTAGATGTCTTCTGTCATTAAAATTTGTGTCTATCGACATATTACTAATCCTTACATTAGGACCTATTTGTGAGTACTGACTTGGTACCCAGAGCACCCAGAGACAGTGTAAGTTTTGAGTTGTGAGGTTTCCACATTGCGATTGTTAGCTGATGGTGAAGTTGTTAGAGCAGGTCAGTTTTACCTGGAGCTCTCTGCGTCTGCAGCAGGCTGTCCCGTCTCCCTGAAACGCTCCGCTATGAGAGGCAAAGACAGCTGGCGAGGGCAGGGAAACGGGTGGAGATGAGGCTGCTTCAGAGCGCTTGGAGATCCATGTGAACTTCTAGTTGGGCGGGCATAGATGGGTGGAGAAATTTTTGCAAACAGAGACTCGTGTTCTGTGATCAGCTCTAACATTAACACCTGGACCAGCGCTGCACCTAGAGCACAGACAGATATTCTCATTAGACCTCGCTGCTTGTGTTCACAACCTTAGAAAATTCACTGCAGTCAGACCAATCAGATGACCACTATTATATCAGGCTAGTCGGGTGTGTATGCTGCTCACTGTGTTCTAATATTAACTTAAGAAAGAAAGAAGCACTGGCTGCAGCACATGGAGCATAATAGCATCACAGCTAAGCAAACAGGGAGTCATGCAGCTGACTAATTTGTGAATTACACTTCTAAACGATGACATCATCATTTAAACCTTGGCATACCGTACATATTAAGATTAATGTTAAGATTCTTTATTTGTGATTGTAGAAAGATTCAACAACATTTATTTTGGTGACTATCAACCAACGGCAACTGATAAAAGTGGCTTAAAAACTCACATACACACAAAAATACTAGTAATTAAAAGAGCTATCAAAAGTATCGATCAAAATAGCTATGTATCAATGAGAGGAATACATAAAAATACACACAATACAATATATATAGATATTTATAAAGATATTTATTAAAGCTACTCCACAGTGTATATTCTGGCTTTTTGGTGTTTTGAAAGTGACTTGTCAGCAGTGTTGGTCAAGTTACTTGAAAAAAGTAATCAGTAACTAATTACTGATTACTTCCCCCAAAAAGTAATCCCATTACTTTACTGATTACTTATTTTCAAAAGTAATTAATTACTTAGTTACTTTTTAAAAACACGATTTACAACCTGAAGAGGTGATAAAGCGATAGATCTTTCGGCTCAATTCTACTTTTTCTGCATAATCCATCATACAAAATGTAATCAAATGGAAAAGTCTCCTTTTTTAAAACTTGTTTTATTAGTTTTAATCTTTTAACTTTATGCATCAAGCAAAAATGTAATTATATGCAACATTCTCTGACTGGAAGAAATTTGTTTAATATGTAAATCTATTTTCTGCCCAATCCAGCACATAAAATAAAATATTTTTTTGTGTTTACACTCACTCTTTCAAATAGATGCAAGTAAAACACAGCAGAAAATAAATAAAATCAAAGACTCAGCGGTCCTGTTGCTCTATTTTCACCTGTAAACCAGGAGTGGGGTAGGCGGAGGTTTACCCTGGTGCAGGTGTGCCGCAGCGGTCAGTGGACGAATCCGCGAGTTTCTCTGTGCATTTCCCATTACGTCGTTGCGCACTCGGTGCTTGCTTGGAAGTTTAGGGGGTTTTTCGCTGTAAAAAGAAGTTTTCTTCCCACGCACAACGGACACTAACGTTTTTGTCACTTTTTATGGAATCAAACTTAAAGTAAGGTCAGTACTTCCACGCTTTAAACGCTGCACTGATATATTATCCATTGTTGATCTGCACACAGCTGTTGTCACGAACGTCGCACTTGCTTACGTCACTGTCATGAGACATTCTTGCAAAAAAAAAAATCACGGTTTTAGTAATGCAGCGTTCCTATGGGAAAGTAGCGGTAATCTAATTACCGTTTTTGCAATAGTAATCCCTTACTTTACTCATTACTTGAAAAAAGTAACGCGTTACTGCCCATCTCTGCTTGTCAGTCACAAAGAAGACACACCCTAAAGCTTACCCTGCTTTATCATCCATTTAACTCTAAATATGGGACCATAACTTTTAAAAATGAGCTTCATGCTGTACTAAAGAATATCTGAAATAAGTGACTAGTGAGAAACTCATCTTCAGGTCAATCATCAAGGTCATACCCATGACACGAGTAGTAGAGTCACCCCCTTGTGGCCAATAAAAATCATGACGGTTTATGGCATTTCTGCATTTACTCTCTTTTCAGACTTGGAGGCTGTGTCTGCCTTTAAAATAAAATCTACAGATGGCACAAGTGTTCATGTCCTGTTTACCTCCCACGATGCTTTGTGGGTCTTCAGCTTTGGCTCGGAGGATGTTTGGTCCAAACACGGTGGCCAAATTCTGGACACTCATCTTGTTGGTGCAGGAGTAACTGTGGACCTCAGTCAGAAACCTGCACAAACACACACACATTTCCAGTACCCATGACAAGACTAATCAAAAAAACACTCATTCGGTTTGACTATTATTCTTACTTTACTATTATTATTATTAAGGGGTGGTCTTACTGGCAGATAAAGTTGAGCAGGTTGAAGTTTGCAACTGGTAACTCATGAAGAAGAATTCTTAACTCCCTCAAACCCTAAAAGAAAAAGGAGAGCAATGCATCAAGGTGACATGTTAAACCACTGAAGGCTAAAATAAGAGTGCAGATTTCCAGAGGGGCGGAGCTGCTTTTAATCAAACAAACTGCTTGATGGTGCAGTGTGCAGTTACCAGTGTGCGGTCACTTGACAGCTTTTGGCCACAGAGCAGGAAGTCCTGGTAGTGGCTGTAAGGAACCAGCGGTTCAGGCAGCTGTCTGAGGTAGAGCTTCAGCAGTGATGCCACCGTGTGGACGTCTGTGTTACTGCAGATAAAACGTTTTATCTTAAGAGAGCAGATCAGAAGAAAAGCAAAGGGAACATTCAGAGAGGAACTTTACCTATCGAAGGATGGCCTCTCTCCTGAATCGAAAGCCTCCTGCAGCTCTTTGACTAAACTGGCCCGTCCAGGCTGGCGAAACAAGCCCACTTCATGCAGACCTCGCTCTCGAATGAAGGTCACGCATTGCTCCACCACCAGAGGAACCAAACGCACCCCATAACGCCGCTCATACAGCACCGTTTCCTCCAGGCGCTGACCAAAGACCCCTGCAAGAGGGAAAGATTTACTGAGTGCTCTCTCTGAAGAGTCTTCAAATCATAAACAATAATAAGACTTTACAGTGTTAGGTAAGACTTGTAGGTGACCTTGCACATCACATAGCTCTAGTCGCATAGAGTCAATTTGACAACATGAGCAAGAGGAGGCAGGGATGCATGCATGAACTGTATCTGGGATGCTTACAGCGCCAAAGTGTTGTGTTTGTATAACAACACATCTCAATCCTTAATCTCAGATACCCTTCATATATATCGAGCAAAACCAAATGAAAGCAGGATATTTTTAAGCTGTGTACCAGTGAAGAATGAGAAATAAAGCCAATGAATATATGTACCCGTGAAAGGGATCCAGACACCCTTGTTAAGGCTCTTCAGCCACTCGTCACCCTGACCGGCGCTGTTGGATAAAAAGAAATAGGAGCCTGGGCTGGCCAACACATCTCTGTTACCTACAAACACACAAATGGGGAGATGTTAAGGAGCTTACTCAGGTCAAGTCTGGACTTGTTATAATAAATCCAGATATTATTACCTATCCTCATAGTACTTTTATAAAACATCAGATCATAATTTAAAAAAACAACTTTATTACACTTCTCTTATGCTGTTTAATGATTATCACTTGTAAAAGCAGAATAATGGTGTGATATTGGGTTGATGTCATTTTATTTGAAAGTGTTCTGTTTTATTCTGTTATCGTTCGCCCCTCCTCATTAGTTTCAGCTGGGTTTAGGCTGTCACACCTGCGCCCAGTTAGTCATTGGTCTCCTCAGTGTATTTACCCACGGATGTCTTTTCCTCGGATGGCAGATCATCTTGTATTCACTGTAGTAAAGTAATTCAGGTCTTCCTGGATTCCCCACTTTTTTTATTTCCTTGTGTGTGACTGCTGGACGGTTCTATTGATGCTCCTTGATTGTTTGCCACATAGATTGATCTCCTGTTTATGCCTCATGTTGCCTCAAATGACAGACTTTGTCATACTAACATTAGACCTCTCCACACTTGATGAGTAAAACCTTTAAAGTCTGATTTGGCTTGGACACAAAAAACCTAGTTGCTTCTATGTGCTCTTTACTAAACCTTCATTGCTTTATTCACAGTTGACAATAATCCTCATATATTTTATACAGGGCCTTGGAGCAGCCTCACTGTGCATCGACTTCCTGAATCAAACTGTTTTATCTCTTTTCCTTCTCTTCCCTTTAAGCTTTCTTATGATTGGCTGCCCATCATGAACACACACTGGAGCAGCAGGAGGGCGGAGCTTCTGTGGTAGAGTGTGGGGTTGCAGCAGCCTGTCTTACTGGATTACGATTATTCTTTGTGGCACAGATTCAATAAGGTGCTGGAAACATTCCTCTGAGGTTTTGGTCCATGTTGATGTGATAAAATTCATGCAGCTGATGCCATGATGAGCTCAAATGTGCTCTACTGGATTGAGATTTGGTGACTGTGGAGGACATTTGAGTACAGTGAGCTTTGTGACACGGTGTGTTATCCTGCTAGAAGCATCAGCCATTAGAAGATGGGTACACTGTGGTCATAAAGGAATGGGCTTAAGCAGCAACAATACTCAGCTAGGCTGTGGCAGTTAAGTGATGCTCAGTTGGTCCTAAGGGACCCAAAGTGTGCAAAGAAAATATCAGGATGGATCCATGCTTTCATGTGACTTACATCACAGTCTGATGCTACAATTCCAAAGGTCACAGCAGAAATCAAAGCTGCTGAATTTGGTCAGTCCCTGCAAACTGTAGCTCCAGGTGTCTGTTCTTAGCTGAGCTTAACTTCAAAGTTTGGTTGTAATGAATTGTTATTTGACTTACTGTCGTCTTCTTATCACCTTGAAACAGTCATTTCCCTCTGATTTCTGCATCAACAAGGCATTTTCACCCAAAGAACTGCTCACTGGATAGTTTGTCTTTTTTTAGGCAGTTCCCTTTAAACCCTACAGACAGGCTTGTGCAGAAAAATCCCAGAAGATCAGCAGTTTCTGAAATACTCAGACCAGCCTGTCTGGCATTGACATCCATGCCAAGTTCCAAGTTGCTTCCACATTTTGAACTTCAGCAGGCTATCTCAACCACGTCTACAGATCTTCTTTTAGTAATTTAATTTATAGTTATAATGATGAACACAATTTTGTTTTGAGGAAATTCTATATTTTCTATTGTGGCATTGTTGTATTTTTAGAATAGTAATCCTGTGTAAGCTGGACTTCAGCAAAGCAGCACTGTTGTATCTATATATATACCGCAGTGTCACATCCATTCAAATATGCATTAACCTTCTGATATAACCAGCATCAGGACACAGAGACATCTCCCCACTTTAATCACTGACTCTTGACGCTTTCCTCTCTCCTCTCATCCTTTCATCCTTTCATGCTCCACTGTCTGTACTCCTCAAAGTCACATGAAACACACAGACACATATGTCTGAAGCACACTAAAACACACACACACACACACACACAGTCACCTGAATCTGAAGACCCTGACTCAGCATTTAACAAGTGTCACTCAAGGGCAACACACACTAACTCACACAGCTGGAGTTTGGGAGAGATTAGCGATGGTGTGTGTGTTGGTGTGTCTTACCTTTGTGGCCCGTACTGTCATGCTTCCAGGACTTGAAGCAGCTGAGTCCCATGCTGCAGCACTCCTGCGAAGCGCAAACTTCACACGGCAATGAGGAATTTTTTTTGAAGACTAGTAACTGAATGTGAGCATTTCGGAGAGTGCAGTTGCATAAAAATGAAAAAACAAACATACAAAACAAGATTCTTCTAATTTTGCTGTGGTTGCACTTACGCTTCCTCCTCCTATCAGCACCCAGTTTCATCTAGCAGGATTTCAGTCTGGTTTTGAACATCTTGGTAGCTCAAAAGGAGTTGGAAAAACCTTTATGGGGGGTATTTCTGGATGGACGTGGACCATGACATACACAATCTTGGAAATGTCCTTGGGTGAAGGTAAACTTTAGATTCTTGGTGGATAATACTGCTTAAAGAGAAGTTCTGGTAGAAATATTTTTAATATGAAATTCCAGATCCCAGCAGGAAGCTTTCTTGGGAAGTTTCAGAGAATTTTTTTCTTTCTTGTCTTCTTGTTTTCCTCTTCTATTACTACCCAGTTTTAGTTAGTAGAGTAGTTTTGAACTTCTTGGCACACCATAAAGAGCTCATACTTGTTCAAAAAATAACTTCAGAAATAGACATTGTTGGTGGACAAAGACCACAAAACACATGTTGTTGTATAGACTTTGGTCTTTTTTTAGTGAAAACTCTTGCAGAGATGCATTTGATGAAGAATTGACCTCAATTTCTTGATGAATACTGTATCAAATGTACATAAAAAAGTGATCCTGATAGTGACAGAAGCTTAATACTATATGTCATTTGAATTGTTTTTTACAAAGAGCTTCCTTCTTAAATGTAAAGACAATCACACATTTCTTGAAAAGAAGTCCAAGTGGATATCAAACCTTAAATACAGGATCCAAATGATTCAGTTCCTCTTGAAGATGATTTCTTGGTGGATATTGTAACGTCAAATGCCTTAAAAGGAAGTTTAAACCAAAGCACGAGATCCAGAGGGATATTAAACTCCTGGAAACCTCAACTTGGCCTTGATTGACAAAAATTTCGACAAAGAATCTTGTAAAGCTGCTGTTCCTATCTGTAAACAGACATGTGTCTGAAGGAGAGGTTTCTCGTAGATGAGGGGTGTGAGATTTTAACTTCAAATGGAATGATATCTCATGGTTACAGAGCCTCTTTCGGTACAAGATTTCAGCTTTGGGATTTGCTGGACAAACACATTATGGGAGGTTCCTGGAGGGAGTCTGTTTTTCTTTAAAGTTGTCATGTTAAATTAGATTTCTAGTGGATACTACTGGACATTAAGCAAAGGGAAGTTCCAGTATACTGCACTCTTTCCCACCTCTGCAAGCAGACAGCTCATCTCTCATGCTCTTCTTAAAATAGTTTTCCCTTCTTCCTTTGAAAATCTTCATTGGGCTTGAGCACCTTGTGTTGATTTTAGGTTGTGGCTACCTAAACAAAAAACAATCACAATTTTTGGCAACATTTTTTCAGCCATCTCTGCTCTGTGAACACAAATGAAAAGATGCATAGCAAGCACAACCTTCCAAATGTTCCAAGTTGCTTGTTAATGAAGCTTCTTCAAATAGCTGTTTTCTCCCTGCAGAACTTCTGGGGTAATGTCAGCCATTACCCCAGCAGATTTCTCTATATCCAGAGCCCAAGACGTCCAGTCTTCATTTTTCCTTTTCCTCAGACACCCATGAACTCATCACTACCTCCAGGAGTGAAACGTCTCACTTTACTTCCTGTATCTCACGATGACTATCAACGGATCAGTATGATTTCCACCCGTCTCTCCCTTTGCATTTCTTTTTAATTGTATATTTTCTTTCAGAAGTTAAAAAGTAAAACCATCTATCCCCCTCCCCATTTTCAGTCCCTCCTACCAGAGAATCAAACTACTCCATCTTCTATTTGGAAAGACACAATCTTAATACTTATTCCTGCATCCTTCCTCGTCTCCCTCTTCACGTCCTTTGCTTTATCTGCTCGTTATCTTGCAGTCTCGCTCCAGTTACAGTCTACACATCTTAATGTCCACGTCATTGCCAGCCCTTTCCTTCTTCTTCCTCCTCTCCATCCCTTTCTATCTGTATCTCTCGTTGTCCCTCCCTTTGTCCCCATCCAGCTTGTCCTTCTGTCTCATTCCCACTATCCCTCTCTCTCTCTCTCTCTCTCTCTCTCTGTCTCTTAATTTCCCAGCAGTCTGTATGCCCCCACTTGGCCCCCTCCCCATTTACCTCATCAATAACCATAGTCTCTGCGTGTGCGTGAAGGCTGTGCATTAGGAAAATTGGTTCACTGCGACGCAGTGCTGTTTTACCAAAGTAATCACAGCTGATGGTGAGAGAGAGAGAGACAGAGAAATGGAGAGAGAGAGATGATCTGGCTCAAATTCTGCTGCTGCTGAAGTATGGCCTGCTGCAGAGAGCGCGCGCGCACACACACACACACACACACACACACACACACACACTGGTACCATGATTCAAGCAGACATTAAAGTAAGAGAGGCTGTCCGGTCCAGTCAACTTTTGAACTCCATTAAAGTATGAGGAGCCTCTCTCGCAATACAGTCCAATTCAATAAGCTTCATTGGCCTGATGTAGGATATAATGTACAGTGTACTCCTGGAGCCTTTTTCAATACAAGGAATCAAATAAACAGTTGTCTGCCTAAAGGTTAATACATCAAAAGAATGTGGACATGTGAACTTTACAGTCAAGCTTGACCCCACGAGAACAAAAACAAAAAAGGAGTGGTCAATTTTGAAGGGGGCTGAACAGCCACAGGTATAAAGGGGCCCTCTTGTGGTCATATGAATGACCGAATGTAAACCATCCAA